AAATACGATATTTATTTACTTATAAGCGGATATTAGCTGTAAAAAGACAACCATGCTATGGTTCACAGACCCAGAGAGGCTAACTAACAATGGGAGGGCTCAAGGGGGGATGGAAGGATCTCCCTGGGAAGGGGTAATAGATTTTGAAGACTAGGAGTGGGTAAGGTTAGGAACAGAAGTGATGGGGGGGGGAATACTGGGAGAAACGAATGGTATTGGGGTCATCTCCTGGGCAAGGAGGAAACCTGGGCAATGGAATCTACAGGAGTGACCCTAACAAAAAGACTTCTAGTAATGGGAGACACAGAGCCTCAACTGACCATCTTCTGTAACCATGCAAGTGGAGGGACCGGGACACCAACCCAGACACAAAACCTTGACCTAGTGTATCCTGACTGCAGAGTGTTCTGGGACCACAGCCTAGCAGAATCCTCCTTCGTCCAGCAACTGATAAGAGCAAAGGCAAAGTCATTGCCAAACATTAGGCAGAGCTTGCAGAGGTCTGCAGAGTAGGTTATAGAGGAAGGATTGGAGAAACCAGAGGGAACAGGGATATCACAAGAACATGTCCCACAGAATAGCAAAGGACAGATGGGCAAGGTGAACAGACACAGGTTTATATAGGGCTTCTTAGGGGTGGAGCTTTCCCAGGGAGATTTCCAGGTCAGATTTGAATCCTTGAGCTCAGACTGGCCAGATCTGGTGCTCAGGGGTTGGTTGGTTTTCTGCACAGGTTTAAGGGCAGATTTGGCTCTGGTTTCAGGGATTTCTTTCTCTGGCCCTTTTTTGGCCTTTTGGCTCTAATTTTAGGGCTAGAGTATATTTCTTTCACTGGCTGATTCCAGGGGCAAAGTGTGTTTCTTTGGCACTGGTTTCAGGGTCAGGGTGAATTTCTTTGGTTCTGGTTGCAGGGCCAAAGTAGGTTTCTTTGGCTCTGCTCAGGATGTGTTTCTTTGGTTGGCCCCTTTCCCTTACAGACTCCACATCAGCAAGACCTGAACATCCCAACACAGATGAAACAGAAGAGAACAATCCTAAAAACAACTTTATGATGATGATAGAGATGCTCAAAGAAGTAGAGAAAATCTCTTAAGGAAATGGAAGAAAAACAATACCAAAAAAATTTGAAGAAATAGAGGAAAAGACAAACCAAAATTGGCTTTAAAGCTGAGAGAGAAAAATAAAAAAAGATACAGTCTGAGGGAATGCTAGAAATAGAAAAGCTAGGCAAATAAATGATCAGGAACTACAGATGCAAACAAAGTTAACTTTTGACGGTATGCCTGTGTTCTGTTGGTAAAATATAAAGCCTGCAGTCCACTGTTAGAATTTTGGAAATTTTAACAATATTAATTCCTTACATTTATTTGTATCCTCTTCAATTCTCTCATCAATGTTTCATAGTATTTACTGTAGAGATATTTTGCCTCTTTGTTTAATTCATTCCTAATTGCTTTGTTATAGTATCTATTACAAATGGAGATGTTTTCTTGATTTCTTTTCCAAGTCGCTTTTCTGTAATTGTAAAGAAACACTAATGGTTTTTGTATGTTCCTTTTGTCACCCCCAAATTTACAGAATCCTTTCAATTTACTTTTGTGGTAAAGTTTTCTACCTGTAAGGCCATGCCATCTGTAAACCGTGATAATGTGATTGCTTCCTTTCTGGTTTGAATGCCCTTTTTCATACATAATTGCTTAGGCTAGGACTTTATACTGTGTTGAGCTGAAAGGTAAAAGGTTTCAACTTTTTTCCTCATTCGTTGTTTGCTGTAGGTTTGTAATATGTGGCCTTTATTGTGTGTCCATACAGTCCTTGTGTGCTGAGTTTCTTGAGAGATTTTTAGTCATGGATAGATGGTGATCTATTGAATAGCATGCTTAATATAGTTAACTATAATGTATTGCATATTTCAAAATTGCCTAAGATGCATGGGACCTAGGAATCCAGTACTGCCATTTTTCCCTTAAAAATTAATAATGGGTATCAATTAAACAATTGAAAAAATTATTCAATTTATCTGCAATAATTTTGTTATTATTGCACCTGACTCATACACACACACACACACACACACACACACAGAGTTATCTGTGGTTTCACTGTAGTTTATGGTAACTACTTACAATTACTATATCACAAAATATGTCAATGTATGATATATTGTGCATGTAGTTAACTGAAACATCATGCTTATCATTATGTTTATATTCCTTATTTTGGAGGTCTGTTTTGTTTTGTCAAGGTCTCATTCTGTGGCCCAGGCTAATGTGGAGTTTATTATGTAACCTAAGCAGTCATCAAAACCACAGAAATGCCCCTGCCTCAGCCTTTCACATGCTGCAGGGGCAGGCATGACCTCCACTCCTGGCTGGGGGAATGAGTAGATAAAAGCTAATTTAGACCCTTTGAGACACCTTCTTTACAGGTTGCTCGTGCCCAGACCCTGACAATGGAGATCATGAAAGCCTCCAAAACTCACCCAGCCAGCACACCTACACCAATGGGGTCTACCAAACTGTCTACCAAGCCTGCTCCCTCGGGTGCACAGCTGTAAGCACAGGTCTCTGAGAAGGACATGTCCAAACCAGGAAACATGACACCAGCAGAGAGCCATTTCCTAATAAGCAGCCCCAAAGGAAAGGAAACCCATACGTCTCTGAAAGAGCATTCTCAACAACTGACTTAAGAATACCCAGGGAACCAACGAAAACAATCCAACAAAAGTCTGGACAGCAAGACACAGAAGTTTGGAGCTTAGCACAGAGATACAGTTAAAACAGCTAAACATTCTAAAGCTGACTGATACAATCAATAAAATGAAAAGTACAGTAGAGAGTTCTAAAAGTGGCCTTGATCAAACAGGAAGAAAAAAAACACTTCAGCTCCAAGAAAATGATTTCTAACTATCCAGTTACATGGTTTATATGCTGGTGAAGGGACATTTATAGAACAAGTCATAATATCCTAATATCATAACAGTGGCATATAAATCACTTATCTCTGATATAAATGATGAGGGGAGAGCCTAGAAGGAGAGGTGGGGGGCAGCTGAGCCCGGGATATAAAACAAATACATGGATTTTTAAAAGTACTGTAATGATAATTTGTCAGTGAACACACAAGATAGTTACATGTACATAGATAGCATCACCAAGTCGAAATGAGTGGGAGGGATAAAAGAGTAGTTTTTGTATGTCATCGAAATTAAGTTGTTACAAAGTTAGCCTGTAGCTGTAGGCGTTTTACATAATCTCATAGGAACCACAAAGATGAGAACTACGGTGGATACACAGAGAAAGAGTAAGGAACTGAGACTTTAGCCTTACAGAAAACTGTCAGATCATAAAGGAGGACAGGGATGAGGAACTAGTGCATCCAAAGAATAATGAACAAGATGGCAACTTGGCACTCACTAGTAACTAACTACTTTATGTGTAAGAAGATTAATTCTCCAATCAAAAGTCAGAGAATTGTCAAATGAGTAGAACAGAACAAGGCAGCCACAGTGGCAGACCCTTGGAATCCCAGCACTTGGGGGGCACAGCAGGAAGACCTGCCTGTGCTACACAGTAAGATCCACGAAAAGGACAAATGAGACCATTATATAATCAAAGGATCAAATTCTCAAGAAGACTATGATAACTGTAGTTGTAATATCAGAGTACATAAAAATATTACTATACCCAAAGAGACAAATGACAGTAAAACACTGCTGGGGCTCAATATGATACTCTTTAAATTTTATTTTATTTTTGGTGCTTGGGCTTAAATTCAGGGCCTTGCACATGGTAAATGTCTTAGGGTTACTATTGCTGTGATGGAACACCATAACCAAAAGCAAGATAGGGAGAAAAGGGTTCATTAGGCTTATATTTCCTCATCATTGTTCATCACTGAAGGAAGTCAGGACAGGAACTCAAACAGGGCAGGATCCTGGATGCAGGAGCTGATGCAGAGGCCATGGAAGAGTGATTGTCACTAAACATCCCTGTTTTATGTTGAAGTGCTGTGCCTGCATGAGTGTATGTGCACCACATGCATGTCCATGGCCTGTGAAGGTCATAGAGGTTTTTGGATTCATGAAACTAGAGTCACAGATGGGTATGAGCCACCATGTGGGTGTTGGGAACTGAACTCATGTCCTTTGCAAGAAGCAACAAGTGCTCTTACCAGCTGAGCCAGCTTTCCAGCCCTGTTTGTTTGTTTTTCTGAGACAGGGTTTCTTTGAGTACTCCTGGCTGTCCTGGAAAACTCTCTGTAGACCAGGCTCCTCAAACTCAGAGATCTGCCTGCCTCTGCCTTCTGGGTGCTGGGATTAAAGGCATGCACCACCACTGCCCACATTTCTGAATTTTTTAAGTGCACTATTTAGTAATAATGTAAGGCCATCGAAGAATGTAAATTTTGCTAATAATCCTCTAATGACTTTTATGTAGAATAAGTTACAGTTTGGTTCTCCCTTGCAATTTATGCCTCCAACCTCTAGCTACCACTAAATACTGGAGACCAGATGAAGAATTAGTCCTCCAGGGTTATAATTTAAGGGCCTTGGTAATATCCAGGTGTAGTGACACACACCAGCATCCCATCCCTTAAGTATGTAAAATGGAGGGTTGCCAAGAGTTTGAAACTGGTCCTCATAGCCAGTCCCAGGTCAGCCAGGACTCATGTAGTAAGGCAAAACAAAACAAAGACTCTCCATAACAAAATTAATTAATAAAAATAAGGTTTCTGGAGTTTGGCATATTATGCAGATAAATGACATGTCAGCAATGGTATTGACTGCCATGAGCATGTAGTGATGGTTCTTTGCCCCGGTTAAACATCATCATCTCCTTCATATTCACGGTCTTTCGTATAACCAGAAGTTAAAGTAATTGCCTAACGTCACCCCTTTCAAGTGAAGGAGGTCTCGGGATTGCTAGCACTGACCCTTTCAGTCCCTGGGACACCACAGGCCTCCCATCCTCAGTGCCCCCTGCACTCGGGCCACTCACGTTCAGCAGCCGAGTCCCCGTGCTCTTGCTCTTGTTCTTGTCCTTCTCTTTATCTGTTGCCATGACCGGGGGTGGCTTGCCTTGTTCGTTAGCATATCGCACTGAAGAGACATTGGATACTCTGCGAAGCGCGGGGTCTGGAGGGCTAAGGGAGCTCTTCTGGAAAATGGGGTTGGGCAGCAGGGACTGGGGCCTTACGCTGCCCGGGGTGGAGCGCTTCGAGGTGATCGGGGTGGAGGGCTTCGAGGTGATCGAGGAGGGGGCCATGGAAGGGCGGTGGCGCATCAGCCCTGGGGAGGTGGAAAACCTGCGCGGTGTCTCTTGAGGGTTACTGATGGAAACCCTCCGGATTCCCGGAGGAGGCAACTCCATTGTTACATTCTCTTCAGGTCCCTGCTTCCCACTAACCCAACCGCTGTTGGCTGCTCACGCGCAGCTGCCTTTCCCGCGCTTTCCTGGACCATGCACGTGCAGAACGCCTGTGCTGCATGGCTGGAGGTCATCTGGGTTTGGAGGGGGTGAATTTAGCAAAGTGGACAATCTGCTCTGGCTCCTTGTTAGGCAGTTTACATTTCCACTGGAATTCAGAGCCTGCTGGTGGGCAACCCCCTCCACATTGTCTCAGGGGCCCTCTTCTCTCCATATCATTCCATTAGATACTACCAGACATCACTTTCTGTGCAGTACCACCTGTGCGCCAAGTGTATACTTCCAGAAACCTACTTGAACACCTTTATCTGACTATTCCACAAACACAGGACACAGTCATATATTTTTCTTACCTCCAAAGCTCTAATATGCTCCAAATTAATGTAATAATGCCACATTCATAAAGGATATATATGTATATATCCTTTATGCAAGAACCCCACTTCTCTTTACTCTTCTTATTCTGGGACGTCTCTCATATAGAAAAGTATTATGATTTACTCTACGGCATCCCAGCCTGACTCATAAATTGCTTCCTCTGTCTCACTATGAGAATAATTTTACCATTATACACAATGCAAACCCAGAAGCTCCCAGAACTTTATTGGCCATTTAATATTTTAAAAATATTGTTAAGGTGGCTCTAAGGCAAGGCCGGTAGCATATTAGACATTTTTTGTTTGTCTTTGTTTTTTTTTAAGACAGGGGGTTCTCTGTGTAACATTCCTGGCTGTCCTGGGACTTGTCTCTGTAGACTATGCTGGTCTCGAACCCACAGAGATACATTTGTCCCTGCCTCCCAAGTGTTGGGATCAAAGTTGTGTGTCACCATCTCACAGTTGCACATTAGACTTTTAAAAAAATAAAACCTTTTAGATGTTTCCCAACCTCAGAGCCATTATTTACTGCTATGCCATTTGGAATGTAGTCTTGTAAGCAAGACTGAGCTCAACAGTCACCTTTAGTTAATCTCTACCACTAGAAACTCCATTCTCCACAGCTCCTGCTCACAGCCAATCTCACCTGCAAACCTTCCCTAGATTTTCCATCCCCATCTCCTCTAAGTAGATTAAGGCCCATCAAAAGGCAGACAATCTGTTTGCCATGTGCTCTCACTTGCCCCAAAGACACAATTAACAGCTGTCTCCAGCCCGCTGCTTGGCATGCATGTCCCTTACAGTGAGCTCACCCTAGTAGCTGCTAATCCCTAAAGCCAAATTCTTTTGGAACAAGAACTTGGTCTTTGCCTTTTCCTTTCAGGCTGCATGGTACAAAATCCCAAGCCCTTAACTCCTATGTGACTGTCAGTGTGGGACTATGCTGCAAGGTGCTTAATTTCTAACCCAGTGAGACTTGTCTTCTCAGCTCATTCTGGCTTCCTAAGGGGTCATGGGGCATGAAGTTTACCTAGCACCACAGATGAAGTAATCTCAGTTTTTGTCTTGTTTCACAATAATATGGTTTTATTTGTACTGTAAAACTATTCCTGCGGGAAGGTGGTGACAAACACCTTTAATTCCAGCACGTAGGAGACAGACAGTTGGATTTCTGTGAGTTCCAGGCCAGCCTGGTTCAGAGAACAAGTTCCAGGACAGCCAGGGCTACACAGAGAGATACTGTTTGGGGGAGGGGGAGCAAACCAAACAAAAAACTTATTCATTTATTGGTTCCTTAAGGAGAGTCTGGTTCTACAGTTCACTTTAGCAATTAGTTCTATGCATTTGGCATAATGCATAATGTTTTCTGGCTGGGGCCTGAGCAGTAGGGGACAAGTTCATCAGGATTTGAAATCTCTGATTAGTATGGAAGCTCTGTGCAGTAGTTCCTGGAGACACCTGCTGGAGAATAATGGCATTGTTGATTTACAGTGAAATACGGGTTATGCAAAGGAAAGGTAAAGTACTTCAGGGTCCACAAAAGCCTGGTTCTTTAGAATTGTTGCCAAGTCTGAAAATTTATTTGAACCTGATTGATGGAGGCAACTAGCAATTGTTTTTGAATGGGACAGAAATGAAGTCTTGTGAACAAATTTACATTTACAGGTATTTTAGTCCAGTAGTGTTACACAATTTAAAAAGAACAGAAATGTATTTCTCACAGTTGTAGAGACTGGCAAGTTCAAGATCTGAGTACCAGGAGGACTGCTGTCTGCTGATGGTCTAGTCTTTGCTCCCTAAACAGTGCCCTGGGCCATGTCCTCTGAATATCTGTGCTCACACGACAGAGGGCAGAGGGTAAAACTAACAAAGTCCTTCTATGTGTCCTACAAGAACTTCACCTGTCCAGGTCTGAGGTTTGATCAAGACATGAATGTCAGAATGTGGCACAGGTTTTCTTCTGACCCTGCTGTGCACACCCTCACACATATACAAAGAGCAAGTAGATGCTAAAGAATTTAAATTTAAAAATCTAAACACACAATTTTACATTGAGAGATAAGCACCAAATGAGATATGATTTCATCTGAGAGACAACTAGGAAAGTTTGAAAATGGACTGGTTATTAGATACTACAGATTCTTCCATGCTTTTCTCTAAGTAGACTAAGAACCTCTAGAAGGCAGATGGTATGTTTACCGTGTGTTCATTTTTCCTGTTCCCTTCTCCCATAAACCCAGGCTTCATCCTCAAAGGTTCAGATTTGACAGGTCTGATGGTCTCATCTACAGCCTTAGTCTTCACAGTAGTATCTTTTGGAGGTTTTAAAACACAATGTTGTGAAATATAGGCCTAGGTTTAATGTTTAATTTTTGCCTCATTGACTCCAGGAATTAGACCATGCATGGCCATCAGTGGCCGTTACTCGGCCTACTACACCCCCTACATTGATAGAAGCTTTCCCTATTTCTCCTCGATGACATAGTTCAGATGTGATAAATCTCAGCTCACCTTCCCTGAAGTTGCAGCAAAACAGACTCCACACTCCCAGCTGCTGTCAATGTGAGAATCATTGCCAGTCACAGTGACAACTAAAACTGACCGGATGGGCAGAACTTGCCCATGGAGTCACAATTCTATCACACGAGCGAATACCTGTTCAGCAACTCTGGCCTTATAGACCAATCCTCAGGGACAACCACCTCAATAATCAGTCTGTCAATCATCTGCTATACAACATTCAGTTGTGTGTTAATCAGGGAGGCCTGATAGCTCCAGGGATATGTCCAACAAACAGCCTTTAGTCACTTTCTATTCCAGCAGGTCATCTCATTGACATATGCTTTAGGGACTCAGACACGAGCTGAAGAAAGAAGCATTTGAAATGTGTGAAGACAGCTTTTTCCATGCAGAACCCACCCCAACAGCAGAATTTCCCAGAAACCTAAATATATCTGACAGACTGTGAGAATGAGGATTGTGAACTTCCATTTACGCTTTTTGTGATTTACAAGAAGAACCAGGACCCTGCAACCTCAGCATTCAGAGGCTGGGGAAGGAGGATCCAGAGATTGAGGTCAGCCAGGCTCTTTCTCATCAAACAAACAGAAACACAAGGGTTAAGGATATGGCCCAATGGTAGAGCACCTGCCTACCATCATGGGACCCTAAGTTTGACATCCATCAACTGTAATAAGGTGGGGGCCAGACGGAGACTCTACAGAGGTTGGCCCAAAATCACAGGCCTGAGCTGGTTCATGGCTCAGCCTCTCTTTTGCTATGTTTGAGTTTGTGGTTTCTGAAATGGGCTCTCATGTAGTGCAGGCTGGACTCAAGCTAGCTAAGTAGCGGAGGGAAGCACCGGGCTCCTGATTCTCCGCCTCCACTGCCCAGGTGCTGGACTGCAGGCACACACCACCGCTCCTCACTGTTACAGCTGCATTCCCGAAGCCCCCCAGACAGCCTATGCGCAGCCAGATAAGACAACAGCCGGCAGATTTTAAAAGGGAAAAATAAAACTTACCAAACTTTTCAAGCAAAAAGATATCTGTCTGTTTTATTAGCCATGACGTGAAACATCTTTCAATTCAAATTACAACATAATTATTACATGATACACAAACACTGGGCCAGATTCAGAAAACAAATTTTATACTGTAGTGCGTTCAATAAGGAGACATCAAAAATACAAAATGAAGGCATTTCCCCTTCTACCCTATTCTCTAAATTTACATGGAAACGTGATGTATACTGTATAACACTGAAGTTATGGCTTTTCTAAATTGGTGCTTTTTATTATGATTATGAATACAGCAAATTTGAGAGAACAGGAAGCAAACACTTTCACCTGCTTTTTTAGCCCATTATCTCCTGTGTCACTAAGGTGACAATACTATAGAAATTAATGGGGGGTATGAAGACCAGATACAATTTAAACATCTTTCATAATCTTCAGAAGCATTTCAGCATTGTATAACAAAAGCTCGATTGTAAATACACATACACACATCTTATAAAAATATACTTAAAACTGAGAGTGGGGAAATGCAGGGCTTTACTGCAGGGAAGGGGTTGGCACTATGATGATGCTTGGTTTCCTTTATCAGGGTACTCTTCCACATCAGAGAAGAACATTAACTCTGGAGAAGAAAGTGAACATACCACACTTTAAACATTTTCCCATCTCAAAAAAGAGTTTTGCAGCTTAATAAATACTGATTTAGGAATAGTAATACAAAGTCCTCAGTCACAAGTATAAATTATTTAGGGAGTTCTTTTTTTAATCTAAATGATAAACTGGTAGCAAGTGTATGTGTTTTATAGTTTTAAAAGTTCAAGATTTAAATTCATTATAAACCTCTTAAAAATAAAATACCCATAATAAAGACAACACAATACATCTTACCAAGAAAAATCATGTCACCTAGGAAGCCTAGCATCATTAAAGGTAATTTGAAATGCAAGGGAAAAGTAGAAGGGTTCAGAATTAAGACTGAGTGTCTACGAAGATACCTTGAATGTACTATTCCATTGCGTCTCTAAAAGACCCAATAAGCTAGGTATTACTCTCATTTTGTTTTCACTTTTTAAATTTACCATCCTTAAAAGACAGCAGGTTTCTGAAG